GTTCCTACTTAAAGTTATGGGGATATGTGGCTCAATAGAGCTGTGACTCTCTGTCAGCCTGGCTACAGTGCTTAGTAACGTTAGTTCCCTTTCGGAGCAACAGGTGGCAGCACTTTTACATTTGTCTTAAGATAGTGACGCGTAGAGGAAGAAACATATGAGGAAGTAGACGGCAGTAGTGAACGTAGATGAAGTATGGAGAGTCCAGAGTTAAATTTTACTTTGGCCTACATAGTGTTCTCTCTCTGCTTCGTGTTTACGCCCAATGAGTTCCGAACGGCCGGTTTAACCATCCAGAACCTGTTCTCGTCCTGGCTGGGGAGTGAGGATGTGGGCTTCACCCAGTACCACATCAGGAGGACCAGCATTACCGTACTGGTCCATTCCGCACTTCCTTTAGGTAACAACTAACATCCAAACAAACAAACAAACAGAGAGACAGACAGACAGACAGACCGGGACAGAACTAATGTGTATCATAGACACATTCAAATACTGAGGAAGTTCACCTTAACTTTCGTTAAATATGACAATTTAACTTAACTTAACTTAACTTAAACCTTAGGCGTTTGCTAAACAATTGGAGTAAATGTGAAATGTCTAAATAATCTAATAGTTTTTGCCAATTTATAGTCTTTGAGTTTTAAGTTTTCAATAGTTGTTAAATTCGTTTTAAAATCAGTATCTACAAACGTATACAAGGGGGGCAATCTTTTAAGCCAACCATGGAACACGTATTTGTAGATTGTTTTTCATGTTTTGGTTTGATTTACAGAAGAACCTTTCAGAAGAAATTGATAAAAAATATACTACCAAAGATTGATATAAATCTCATTAATAACAATCCAAACATCTCTGCAGATTACATTTACATAATTAACTTAATTAACTTCTTCACTAATATTATATTTTCAAAATGATATGGCTTAATGTGAAACTACACATGGCTCCTGTCAAATGGGCAATACTTTTTTGTTTGTTTTTTTGTTCTTCTGCATTCTTTATTAACAGTATAGTAATATTACCACCAATATTAACACTGCAAATAACATTACATGGAGTATTAGGGAAAATCACAGAGAAAAGATGAAGAGCAAAAGCTTATGCTTATGCAAAAGCATAAGATGTATTGTCTATACATACATACATACATAAGACTAAGTCAAGAGAGAACAAGAACAAAGACAAATAAATAGTGAATTAACAGTATATGCAATGAATCCGCAGTTGATTGGACACCAACAATGTCCAGTGTGTGTGTGTGTGTTAGGGTTAGGGTTAGGGTTAGGCGATGGGTCATTTGGTGCTATTGATTGTGTCCATGTTGGTGTTCATCTCTCTAGGTTACTACATGGGGATGTGTATCGCTGCTCCAGAAAAAAACCTGGGATACATTCACCAGGTCAGCCTTTCTGTCTGCAGACTTATGATCACACTCTGCTCTGTTTAATTTCCCATAATTCAGATTATGTAAAGTTTGTAATGATGTGACTGATGAGATTTATTGTGGAGCTGCACAAAAATACTTGGTGTTTTAATTGTACAATATTTAATTTCTGCCACTGAATGAAGTCAACGTTACTGGTATAACAATTTTTCTGGCTGTAAATGTGTTTTGGGGAATTGGGATTTGAATTGATCATGCTCTAAGAACTAAAAAACATCATGGAGCCGATACTGATACTTTACTTTATATCCTGAGTACTTCAAACATGTAGAAAGCCCTGGTGTAGTAGTCAAAGTCAAAGTCAGCTTTATTGTCAATTACTTCACATGCACCAGACATACAAATACAAAGGAATCGAGAGGACGTTTCTCACTCTCCCACAGTGAAACAGATAAAGTGCACAGGCACAACAGATACGACAAGACATTTCTAATATTAAAAGTAAACATTCAATTTCACAGCAGATAAGACATTTACTAATGCTAAAAAGATAAAGAAAAGATGGACAATAAAATATACAATAATATAAAATATACAATATACAATACTTATGGTAGTGCAAATAAGGCAGTTGGTAATGGCAGCATTTTGATAGCCTGGAGGATGTGACTGGGGGGACAGAGGGGAGAGAATTTAGCTTCCTGACAGC